AAAGGTTATAGCGTGGAAGGTTGTAGTTTACATTAATAAAATTGAGAGTGCTCTTCCTCATCTCTCACATGAAGCAAATTATTGTAGTTGATCATAAGTTTTCAAAAAGTCATGTATACAGTGTAAAAATAAATAAATAAATACAAAATATAAAAAAATAAAAAATAAATAAATAATAAACAAATAATAAGAAACCGATTATCGTGCTTACCAAATTATAGCACGGGCACAATATGATGCTCGTTTTAACCTTAACTACAAACAAGTCGAATAGGGTGGACTATGAATAAACATATGATCGTGAAAAGAATTATGTACATGTATACTTCCCCGGAGAACTCTTTTGTTTTCACCACAGGTACTCGAGCCCAACGGTTGTGGCTATTGGGGGATAGCTTCGTCAGGAGAGCCGGCGAGAGGGCATCCTGGACAGGCAACCACAACCTGGGAGTAAATGCAAGCGAGGTTAAATGGTTTGGCAGAGGCGGCCTAACCCTACACGAATTTCCGAGAGCTCTCCAGGACTTACTAAGGTACAACCCAGCTCCTACCATCATGATCATTCACGTGGGTTCGAACGACCTCGGCCGCTATGGAGCCAAGCAATGTCGACAGGCATTAGATGACGCCCTCACCACAGCCCGGGAATTATTACCGGGGTGCCATATTTATTTTTCAAGCATAATACCTCGTTTGTTCTACTATGGATATGGCCGTACAGTGCATTCGCAATTAGCGATTAATAAGGTGAGGAAAGCCCTGAACAAATATGGTAGAAGAAAGATCAGGCGCATGCACAATGCATCGTTCATCATGCACAACTTCATCGCGCAAGAACACCAATATTTTAACAGGGACGGGATACACCTGTCGGACAGTGGATGTGACATTTTGATACAGAGTTTCGCAACGGCGGCTCGAATGGCTGGGTTAACTTAAAACTTGAAATCTCTGAGAAAACGCCGTTTAAATATAATGACTCCCTCAAAATAATGCACGTGAGTCTTGCGACTCAACACTTTAACATTTAAGCTGAATATAATATTATTTGTCTGCGGTACGATTGTATAGCAGACAAATGTTGTTTGTATCGTTAATGAATGCATATTTATGTTGGGTCCGGGGCTGTGCCCCGATGGAATGTAATTTGCATAGGCAGCTCGTACAGGTGTGCGAGCTAATTCTGCCACGGAGACCAGGGCGTGGCATGAATTAGTGTGTAATTGAATCATTTTAGCTTGAGCTTTCAACGAGACAACTTTTATTTACAATAAAAGTGCGTTGTGTCATGTACTGTTACATGACTGTGTTTGAATAAGGTTTTCCAGAGTTTTTATGCTCGTTGAGTTTTATCTCTGGTTTTTTATCCTGGACCATGATAGGTCCGGTTTCCAGTGAAGGAAACGGTTTCCAGTGAAGGAAACGAGAAGAAATGTTTGTTAAACATTCATACTGAATAAACGGCCGGCTCTCAGTAGTCGTTGTCAGGCTATTCCACAATAATTGAAGTGTATTATTGTGTTATTTGTGTGTATTGGAAAGCAAGAGGGATGACAGACGAAATAATATGTGAGATTATAGGACAGACAGATCATTGCATAATGTATATACATGCACATGTCAATAGAACAAGGCAGAATCTGATTTGGACCATGATATGGCTCGTTGACGCTGCTATCATGGTTGTTTTGTTGTTGGTTTTGGTATGGCAGCTCGTCAAGTATACCTACATGTATATTTCTAGTTTAGGGAATAATGCCAAAGATAATAAGATAACAGTGGATTGTACAGATGAATACAAGGTGTACATGTAAATAGACGTTCGATCAAAATAGGACAGTCGACTAATGACTGAATCTTATTTGAGGCTGTGCAGCTCGACTGTACACGGGCAAACATGTTATTATTGTCTTCAACATAGTGATCGTGTTTAATTGATTTAACGTGGATTCATAGATCGTAATTGTTCATTTCAATTTTGCTCGGCAAAGTCACATAAAATGTGATAATGGTGCAGAGAATTTAAGCACCTGGCTTGGTATTAAGGTTTGGGAACCGATGGAGAAAAATAATAAAAATAAAATTGTTAGTATTTTTGATAAATGCCCTTAAAGAGATGACTATAGTTTGCTTTGTTTGAATGGGTCCAAGTGACAACAGATAACATCATTTCATTTAATTGTTCGTCCATTTATGGCAGAAAGTAACAATTTAGAAAACAAAACAGACAAAACTATTTAAGAGGCAAAAAAAAAAAAAAAAAAAAAAAAAAAAAAAAAATGGTTTGTATTGGCTGTTTGGGGTTGAAAATTGTCAAGGTTGCTTATTGCTATTGATATTTATGTTAATTGTTGTTCATAACAGGGGAGAGCGGTTTGCCCAATGGCAAGGAGGGGCTCTCAGTAGGAGAGGTTGTTTAGGGGAATCCGTAATCTCAGGAAACTGGGACTTCGGTTGGATGTCTTCCTCCCGGTTGGTCACGTGACCCGGGTTCCCCTACTTAGTATCTCGTTTTTATTTAGCCTCTCCCCTCTTCCCTGTACAATAGTGCGGGTACAGATATCGCCCCTTTTTAATTTCATTGCATTTCTGTTATTTGATTGTGACATTAATTGTTGGACGGTTTGAAAGGGGGAAATTCTATCCCCAGTGGAATAAATGTTGAGAAAATGGCAAACAATGTATCCATGTTGTATTTCTTCTCACAATTCGATTATTCGAGTTATCGAATCAGCGCATTTGTGAGAGAATGCAACGTAAACAATATAGTTCAGGGTCAAAGTTGTTTACGCTAGCAAAGTGCAGAAAGGTCAAAAGAGAAACTATTAGTTAAGCGCATCGCGCGCGATACCGGTAAAGTGCGCGCATTCCAAGTTAGCATGCGCGGCACAACAACTGAATTCGTCTCACATACTCAACAAGTTCCACTGGGGTTGGATGTTTTTCTTTTCCCGCCTCCCCACCCTTCTACTCCTTAGACAATAAGAAAGGAAGAAATAAGAAGTAGAAAGTGAAAGAGCTCAAAGAAAGGGGGAGGGAAATTTACACAGCAGAGCTCGGGGAGGATAGATTTGAGACATGTGGCCAAAAAACAAAAAAGTGATGATGATTATGGTTGGTTGGTTTGGCTTGATGCATTTTAAATAAATGGTTGGTTGGTTGGGCTAGTATGCTTTTAATGAATGGATGGTTGGCTGGGCTTGTAATAATTCGTGTTATGGTTGGCTGGATGGGCTTGTATTCTTAATTGGAACAAAGTTTTGGTTGGTTGGTTGGGCTAGTGATGTTCCAATAAATGGCTGGTTGGTTGGGCCAGTAAGCTATTAATGAATGAATGGTTGGCTGGGCTAGTATAATGATTCGTTTTAGAGATTGGCTGGATGGGCTTGTATTCTTAATTGGAACAAAGTTTTGGTTGGTTGGTTGGGCTAGTGATGTTCCAATAAATGGCTGGTTGGTTGGGCCAGTAAGCTTTAATGAATGGATGGTTGGCTGGGCTTGTAATAATTCGTGTTATGGTTGGCTGGATGGGCTTGTATTCTTAATTGGAACAAAATTTTGGTTGGTTGGTTGGGCTAGTGATGCATTTTAAATAAATGGTTGGTTGGTTGGGCCAGTAAGCTATTAATGAATGAATGGTTGGCTGGGTAGTATAATGATTCGTTTTAAAGATTGGCTGGATGGGCTTGTATTCTTAATTGGAACAAAGTTTTGGTTGGTTGGTTGGGCCAGTAAGCTATTAATGAATGAATGGTTGGCTGGGCTAGTATAATGATTCGTTTTAAAGATTGGCTGGATGGGCTTGTATTCTTAATTGGAACAAAGTTTTGGTTGGTTGGCTGGGCTAGTGATGTTCCAATAAATGGCTGGTTGGTTGGGCCAGTAAGCTTTTAATGAATGGATGGTTGGCTGGGCTTGTAATAATTCGTGTTATGGTTGGCTGGATGGGCTTGTATTCTTAATTGGAACAAAGTTTTGGTTGGTTGGTTGGGCTAGTGATGTTCCAATAAATGGCTGGTGGTTGGGCCAGTAAGCTATTAATGAATGAATGATTGGCTGGGCTAGTATAATGATTCGTTTTAAAGATTGGCTGGATGGGCTTGTATTCTTAATTGGAACAAAGTTTTTGTTGGTTGGTTGGGCTAGTGATGTTCCAATAAATGGCTGGTTGGTTGGGCCAGTAAGCTATTAATGAATGAATGGTTGGATGGGCTAGTATAATAATTAGTTTAATGGTTGACCGGATGGGCTTGTATTCTTAATTGAAACAAAGTCTTGGTTGGGTGGTTTGGATTGAAGATTCATTTGAAAATTCGGTTTTGGCATTCTTTATTTTGAAAATATGCTGAAGGGTTGTGGCTCGTAGAGCCTTCTTGGACGCTGTAATTAAGTAGATATAAGTGCCCAGATAGATGTATCGAAGCTTATCATAACTCATCCTGCTATGAAATTATTATATGTATGTTTGGGGTTGAAAATTGTCAAGGTTGCTTATTGCTATTGATATTTATGTTAATTGTTGTTCATAACAGGGGAGAGCGGTTTGCCCAATGGCAAGGAGGGGCTCTCAGTAGGAGAGGTTGTTTAGGGGAATCCGTAATCTCAGGAAACTGGGACTTCGGTTGGATGTCTTCCTCCCGGTTGGTCACGTGACCCGGGTTCCCCTACTTAGTATCTCGTTTTTATTTAGCCTCTCCCCTCTTCCCTGTACAATAGTGCGGGTACAGATATCGCCCCTTTTTAATTTCATTGCATTTCTGTTATTTGATTGTGACATTAATTGTTGGACGGTTTGAAAGGGGGAAATTCTATCCCCAGTGGAATAAATGTTGAGAAAATGGCAAACAATGTATCCATGTTGTATTTCTTCTCACAAATAATACAGTCATAGTATAGGCGGGGGGGGGGGGGGAGAGGGGATGATATTATTGTATATAGGCCTTTCACCTGCTTATCTATTTTAGTAGACGAGTAAGCGAGGTCAATAGACCAAGCAAAGAGATACCAGCAACAAAAGACAAGGCTGAGAACCTCGATCGTGAAAGATATGACTTTATAGTACATGGATTATACCCCTCCATCCAAAAATGGCCGAAACTATGCTGGAAGATTCTACCGACCCCTGGAAATACGTTATCCTTCTGAGTAAATTTGTGCTTCTCTTCGTTGATGGCGGGATCGCCAAGTCTTTTGGAGTCCTCATCCCCGATATCGTCGTCCGGTACGACAGTGACTTCGGGACCGTTGCCTTAGTTTTGAGTCTACCCAGCACGATGATGTGCTTTACCGGTAAGTCTACCGACATCTAAAAAAAAACCATTTTCGTAATGCAATTAAATTTAATTCCTAAATCTTTGGTACCATATTACAAATTCTTTTATTCACCTGTTACGAATAATTGTATTACAATTTAAACTACATACTGAATTATATGTTGTTAGGTAAAACAAGCCATAGTGTTTGTCTTACCTAACAACAATCGATGTATGCAATTTGCATTATGACTATTGAAATTGCAATTATTCATAAAAGGTGAATGAAATTGTTTGTAACGTGGCACTTCTCAAAGACGTAGTACCCAAGGGGGCACAGCAGGTTCTCGAGACATGGAATGTTGTAAAAGGTTGTTGGATATTAAAGGAAACCGAATCCCAAGAAATAACTTTACTTATTCTGAGAGATTTATTATATTATTGCCCATAAATCTACAAGATTCCCAACCAAAGTGTATGAGAGAGGTATAAAGCAAGAATAATGTACAGTTTCTCAGCACGACATTGACATCGCCATTTTCTTGATAATGTGACGTACTATGCGGAGTCGTTTATCAAGTAAATGAATTCAAATTTATGGATGCTTCTTTCCCACGCGTACAAAAAGCGTATTTTCTGCCTCTAATGTCTACACCGAAAGTACGCCAAAAATGTAACATGTTTAATAATTTGTTGCGTCAATCTCGCGTACCCCTTTGCGTCTCTCATCGTATAATTACGTAGGCCAGCGTAAGGCAGCGTACGCTCGGCGAAGTCGGTACGCAACACTACGCAACACTAGGCATGGCCCGGTGTGAAAGGGGGCTTATATCGGACCAACTTGCCTCGATTAACTTAAACACGACCTTCCACCGATCCAGTCTTAAGGGGCTTTCACACCGGGCTTTGCGTAGAGTTGCGTAGTGTTGCGTACCGACTACGCCGAGCGTACGCAACCCTACGCCGGCCTACGTAACCGTACGCTGAGGGACGTAAATGGGTACGCGAGATGGACGCATTCGCATAATTTCGGCGTAGACACGTAGGGGTAGTTGACTGGGGATGGTTATACGGGGATGGATGTTCAGCGGGTAGGTCTCCTAGAACCCTTTTACTCATAGTATTGTTAATCTAAAGGTGATATACATTGCCATGTAAGGTCAAGTAGTTGGTGAGAATATTTTTTTTCTCGATACAGAAGTTTTTCTATAAAAAATTAATCATCAACTCTTTTCTATCAGCTTTGATTATTAAAGGGAGTGTAGCCTGACGAGACTATGTGTCTTTCACGTGGCCTGTCTCGTGGCCAATCGATTAAGGAGGACGCGGCCGCAGCAAAAACGAACGTGCAACCTACGCGAAACCGAAGCTTGAGGAGAACTTCGGTCTGTTTCGCGAACGCTAGCGCACGATGACCATGTACAGATTAGGTCGGTGACCACCGCTATTCAAGTCCATTTGTTTACGTGCATTTGTCCAAAGAAGACGCAGATGTCGTTAACCAGTATTTGCCAAGCTACACTCCCTTTAACTTATACCTTGTCATTTTCGACAACTTCCACATCATGACTCTGTTGTGATCTGCATTAATTCAGAACATTACGTTGAGAAGATTATTCGGAGAAACATTATCATATTTATATGAGAACACCCTGTAAAAATTGGTTTAATGTGCAAACTCAAGTCTTATACGAGTTTTAGCTTGTTATGTTATTAATTACTAAATGGCGACTTACGGTTCCTTTTTTGCTTAGGGGGGGGGGGGGGGTCTCTATTTTGTTTTGACTTGATTCGTTTGATATGCTTTATTTTTGTTTGTTTGTTTTTTGTTTCTCCTGTTTTCCGTATGCGAAAATAACACTTGACACTTTTCATAATAGCTTTAAAACACGACTCGCATCAAACTGACTCAGTCTGCACATTATTTCTAGCTTGAGCATGTAGAATGTATTTTTAGTAGATAATACTTAATCATCATCATCAACTTCAGGTGGCGCTGTAAAGCGCTGCTGTGGCCTTCACGAGAGCACGCCATGCAACTCTTTCACCTGCCATTTGTGTTGCACCTTTCATTCCTTGTCCAGACACTTTCTTGTTATCATCAGTCCAAGATATTGGTGGACGACCTCTACCCCGTTTTCCTTCGACTGCTCCTTGCAGTATTTGCTTCTCAATAACTTTAGATCTCCTTAACAATGTGCCCAAAATAGTTAGGTTTTCTTTCCATGATTCCCCTTCTGATGGTCAAGCCTGTTCAAATCTTGTCCAGGACCCACACATTTGTCTTTTTATCTATCCATGACACATGCAACAGCCCCCTGTAGCACTACATTTCAAAGGTATCAACTCTCTTACTATCATTCTTTGTCATGGCCCAGGACTCACTTCCGTAAGTAGCAATAGAGAAAGAAGTTGCTTGAAGAAGACGAACCTTCAGACTGACAGATAGGCCTCGGCTCTTCCAGATGTGGGACATATTCTGTACTGTTGATCTTGCCGTTGCCATCCTTCTTCTTATCTCTGTGGTGCTCTCTCCTTTGTTAGTGATAATTGAGCCCAAGTACTCAAACCGATTTACTACTTCAATCTTTTTCCAGCTACGGTGAAGTCAGTGTTATCATAATCTCTATCGACAACCATTATTTTTGTCTTTTTGGTGTTTATAAGAAGGTCTTTCTCTTCACTTGCCTGTTTAATGCGATTCAATAAATCAATCAGCTCCTCTCTGCTGCTGCAAACGAGAGTGGTGTCATCAGCATACCTTAGGTTCGTGATCTTTTTACCTCCAAACTGAACTCCCCCCTTAAATCCTTCCAGAGCATTTCTCATAATGTCCTCAGAGTAAATATTAAAAAGGTTAGGAGACAGTATACAGCCTTGACGTACTCCCCTACCAATTCCAAACCACTCAGTATTGCCGTTACTGGTTCTCACTGTTGCTTCTTGGTCACGAAAGAGGTTTTTGATCAGTTCGATGATGTGACTTGGGAACCCCATCTTTGTCATTGTATTCCACAAATGAGAGTGGCTCACACAGTCAAATGCTTTGCTATAGTCTATAAAGCACAAATAGAGGGGGTGTTTGGGTTCTCTGCATTTCTTTAATATGTTTCGAATGTTGACAATCTGTTCTCTTGTCCCTCTTCCTTCACGGAACCCTGCTTGCTCCTCTGAGATTTCGGCTTGCAGTTTGATTTTCATTCTTCTGCTAATCACCTTCAGAAGTATTTTGCTTGCATGACAAATCAAGCTGGCCAGGTGTGAAAGGGGGCTTATATCGGACCAACTTGCCTCGATTAACTTAAAAACGACCTTCCACCGATCCAGTCTTAAGGGGCTTTCACACCGGGCTTTGCGTAGAGTTGCGTAGTGTTGCGTACCGACTACGCCTACGTAACCGTACGCTGAGGGACGTAAATGGGTACGCGAGATGGACGCATTCGCGTAATTTTGGCGTAGACACGTAGGGGTAGTTGACTGGGGATGGTTATACGGGGATGGATGTTCAGCGGGTAGGTCTCCTAGAACCCTTTTACTCATAGTATTGTTAATCTAAAGGTGATATACATTGCCATGTAAGGTCAAGTAGTTGGTGAGAATATTTTTTTCTCGATACAGAAGTTTGTCTATACAAAATTAATCATCAACTCTTTTCTATCAGCTTTGATTATTAAAGGGAGTGTAGCCTGACGAGACTACGTGTCTTTCACGTGGCCTGTCTCGTGGCCAATCGATTAAGGAGGACGCGGCCGCAGCAAAAACGAACGTGCAACCTACGCGAAACCGAAGCTCGAGGAGAACTTCGGTCTGTTTCGCGAACGCTAGCGCACGATGACCATGTACAGATTAGGTCGGTGACCACCGCTATTCAAGTCCATTTGTTTACGTGCATTTGTCCAAAAGAAGACGCAGATGTCGTTAACCAGTATTTGCCAAGCTACACTCCCTTTAACTTATACCTTGTCATTTTCGACAACTTCCACATCATGACTCTGTTGTGATCTGCATTAATTCAGAACATTACGTTGAGAAGATTATTCGGAGAAACATTATCATATTTATATGAGAACACCCTGTAAAAATTGGTTTAATGTGCAAACTCAAGTCTTATACGAGTTTTAGCTTGTTATGTTATTAATTACTAAATGGCGACTTACGGTTCCTTTTTTGCTTAGGGGGGGGGGGTCTCTATTTTGTTTTGACTTGATTCGTTTGATATGCTTTATTTTTGTTTGTTTGTTTTTTGTTTCTCCTGTTTTCCGTATGCGAAAATAACACTTGACACTTTTCATAATAGCTTTAAAACACGACTCGCATCAAACTGACTCAGTCTGCACATTATTTCTAGCTTGAGCATGTAGAATGTATTTTTAGTAGATAATACTTAATCATCATCATCAACTTCAGGTGGCGCTGTAAAGCGCTGCTGTGGCCTTCACGAGAGCACGCCATGCAACTCTTTCACCTGCCATTTGTGTTGCACCTTTCATTCCTTGTCCAGACACTTTCTTGTTATCATCAGTCCAAGATATTGGTGGACGACCTCTACCCCGTTTTCCTTCGACTGCTCCTTGCAGTATTTGCTTCTCAATAACTTTAGATCTCCTTAACAATGTGCCCAAAATAGTTAGGTTTTCTTTCCATGATTCCCCTTCTGATGGTCAAGCCTGTTCAAATCTTGTCCAGGACCCACACATTTGTCTTTTTATCTATCCATGACACATGCAACAGCCCCCTGTAGCACTACATTTCAAAGGTATCAACTCTCTTACTATCATTCTTTGTCATGGCCCAGGACTCACTTCCGTAAGTAGCAATAGAGAAAGAAGTTGCTTGAAGAAGACGAACCTTCAGACTGACAGATAGGCCTCGGCTCTTCCAGATGTGGGACATATTCTGTACTGTTGATCTTGCCGTTGCCATCCTTCTTCTTATCTCTGTGGTGCTCTCTCCTTTGTTAGTGATAATTGAGCCCAAGTACTCAAACCGATTTACTACTTCAATCTTTTTCCAGCTACGGTGAAGTCAGTGTTATCA